GATCAGTCAAGTGGAGTGTCTATTGGGCGTACTTTCAGCGGATCGGTATTGTGGGCACCGTTGCTATACTCATATCGTACATAGCTTCCAGTGGTTTCAATGTGGGGTCGAGTCAGTGGCTGTCCCTCTGGAGCGACGACGCCAACGACCCCGAGAGGGTCGATGACATCCGGTGGCGGAACATACGGCTCGGCATATACGGGGTGTTGGGCTGCGGGGAGGCTATCTTTTTGTTCATATCTGCCATTACCATGAATTTGGCGACACTAAGAGGTGCCCGGATATTGCACAACGATATGTTACACCACATATTCCGAGCACCTATGTCATTTTTTGATACCACTCCTATGGGACGGATATTAAACCGATTCTCGCGAGACGTCGATATCTGCGACACTATGTTGGGTATGAATATCCGGATGACTTTGATGCAGACATTTCGTGCCATATCGGCCATTGTGGTGATGGCCATCGAAACGCCATTAGTGCTGGTATTCCTACTTCCCATAGGACTCGTATATATGTTTGTTCAGCGCCTATACATCCCGACCTCTCGCCAGTTGCGGCGAATTGAGTCGACCACTCGATCGCCGATTTATATACACTTTTCAGAGACACTTACCGGTGCCACCAGTATTAGGGCCTACGGGTCAGTCGACAAGTTTATCGATGAATCAAATAAAAGGGTAGATATGAATAATATGAGTACTTTTGCGGCTACTCTGACCAGTTGTTGGCTATCCATACGTCTGGAGTTTTTGGGATATTGTATAATATTTGTGAACGCGATGTATGCCGTGATCGCTAGAAAAACGCTGAGTCCAGGTGTGGCCGGACTTACGCTCAGTTACGCCATGACTATTACCCGGACGTTGAATAACTTGATCCGTGCGACCACTCAATTGGAGACCAATATTGTATCGGTTGAGCGGTGTCTGGAGTACACACAAACTCCATTAGAAGTATGTATCCAAGACTTTATCCTAATTGTAATCCTATACTAATAAATAAAACTTTTTTTATATTAATTTTAGGCTTTATGGCACAAACCCGAGGCTCAGCCGGTGGCTGAGTGGCCACAAAAGGGTTGTATAGCTTTTAATGGCTACAGCACCAGATATAGAGAGGGATTGGATCTGGTTTTGAAAGAGATATCATTTGACAT